GGGAAGTTACAGCAAACAAAGTCTCGTATTTGAAAATATCTGAATACATGGGATTGTGGCAGGCCATATCTAGTTTTAAGATATTCAAAAGAGGTAAAAAACCTTTTCAGAAAAAAACTGTTCGAGATGAACCAGGCCTTTCTTTCTCCACAAGGAGAAAGCTGGATCAAGATCCGCAGGCCGAAATAGGTGGTTATCGCAGATGGGCATCAGTGTGGAGGGAGAAGAGATTTTAAAGTTACGCCTAAACTGTCTCCAGATCTTTATAGTAGACAAAATGACAGGGTTAGAGGTGTATTTTTTAGGAGGCATTGCATATTGAAGTTGACAGGGAAATTGGATTGGAGTCGGCTTCCAATTGACACCAGTCTGTATTGGCAAAGTTGTGCCACATATATATATTTTTTGGATATTAGCCGCCAGGTAGTATGCCAGAAAATTAGGTAGAGCTAGACCACCATCTTCCGTAGCTCTAGTAGCTCGAGTATTATTCTTCCCTGCCCAAATAAAAGATGAAACATACCTATCCAATTCTTTGAAAAAAGATTGGATATATTGTTAAACACTGTCATACAAATAAGAATTTAGGTAGGACATTCATTTTAATCGAATTTATTCTTCCAAGAAGTGAAAAGGGGAGGCGGTTCCAACGTTGGAGATCTGATCTGACTTCCTTAACTAACTTCAATATGTTATGTTTATAAAGTGAAGAGAGACTGTAAGAGATATTAATGCCTAAATACCAAAAGCTGGAGGAAGCCAATTTGAAAAGTAGTGCATGGGTCGGGATCTGCTTCGCAGCATTGTTTACAGGGAAACATTCGCTCTTACTATTTAACTTATAGCCTGAAAAGGAGCCGAATTCCTGTAAAGTATCAAGAATCTTATTAATGACGGAAGTGGGGTTTGAGACATAGAGCAAAAGATCATCAGCATAGAGCGAGACTCTGTGCTCCACCCCATTTCTGTATATGCCAGTGAAAAGCAGTGACTTTCTAAGAGCAATGGAGAGTGGCTCGATTGCATTGTCAAATAGCATAGGTGATAAGGGGCAGCCTTGACGGCAGCCACGTGTTAGGAGGAAAAACTTGAATGAATATTGTTAGTGGTCATGTTAGCGGTAGGGGCCCTGTATAATAGTTGAATCCATGAGATATGTATTTCACCAAAACCAATCTGTTGAGGACTGAGAATAGATAACCCCACTCCACTTGGTCGAAGGCCTACTCAGCGTCCATAGAGATTACCATTTCAGCGTATTTTGAGTAGGCGACAGATATTTGAGGATAATTGTCTGACCTTTATGAAGCCTGTTTGGTCACTAGAAATAATAATAATAATTATAATAATAATAATCAATAGGCAGGGGTTGAGGCGGCAAGCAAGGATCTTGGCTAATAACTTTATATCGGAGTTAAGCAGGCTAACAGTCCTCCAGCTGCTACATTCTACTGGGTCTTTATTTTTCTTTGGGATGAGTGAAAGTGAGTTGAAGATAAAGGAAGTGAGCCAAGTGCCAAGGAGTCATTGAACATATCCAACATCAAGGGAACTAGTTGAAGCCATCTGGACCCAGTGCCTTGCCGTTTTACATCAGTTTGAGACTGGCTGGACTTCTTCTAAGCGGAGCGGAGCGTCCAGATTGGATGTGGTTGCTTTATAATTGTGGGGTATTCTAAATTGTATAGGAATTCGTTCATTGGAGAATTATCAGATAGGGCTTCAGATTTGTATATATTGGAATAGTATAGGGCAAAAACATTATTTATCTCAGTTGGATCTGTGACTACGGAGCTAGGGGTACTGCGAATTTGAGTGATGAGTCGAGAGGCAAATTGGCGCTTTAATTGCAATGCTAACGCCATTAATCGTAATACATACTCTTTGTGCGCCTTAAAAGGAAATCTGCCTCATTTGTAGAGATGAGATCAAACTCAGTCTGGAGTTTGAGTCTCTTCATCTGAAGAGTGGGATTAGAAAATAAGTTGCTTGTCTCTGTCTTTCTTACTTGCGTGTCATTTCACTGTATAATATATGATATAATCTCTCCACGTATTACTGCTTTAAAAGTTTCCCATAAAAGGGACGGGGAAGTTGAATTGGATTTTTTATTTTATTTTTATTATTTTGGATAAAGAGTGAAATCTTCTCAGATATAAATTCTTAAAATCTATTAGAGGATAATGATCCTGTGTTTTATCCCCAGTTTCGGTGCTTTTCACATCTAGGGAGGAATTCCAAGTCTAACAGAAGAGGGGTGTGATCTGAGATAGCTATTGTATGGTATTTGTATGATTTCACTAAAGGTAGAAGTATTTTATCTAGATGTATGTCTTGTGAACGTGGGAATAGAATGAAAACTCTTTTGTTGTTGGATGTCTAGAGCGCCACACATCCACAAACCCGAGTTGGTCTGTAAGTGTAGAAAGAGCTCTAGCCATATTAGACCATGTTATGTTTTTTGGGTTTGATTTATCTAGAGCAGGATTAGACACTAAGTTAAGGTCCCCCAAAAATTAAGTGGTGAGAATTCAGGGATGGAATTAATGAGAATAACGAAGTCATAAAATTAGGGCAGTCCCACTTGGGGGTGTAGATGCAAGCCAGAATGACAGGGGTCTGAAATAACATACCCATGACTACAATATAACGTCCATTTGGGTCTGATATTATTTGTTCGGGTAAGAACTGTATTCGCTTGTGTAACAAAATAGCTGTACCTCTTGAACGGCTATTAAAGAGTGGAAAACCTGTCCAACCCAGGCCTTCCGTAGTCTGGTGTGGTCACACTGGCGCAGATGGGTTTCCTGAAGGAAAGCAACTCTTGTTCTTTTGATAGGCCCACCAAGTCCCCTCACATTCCAGGTCATGAACCGAACAGATCCTAGATTATTTTGCCAACACAAGACATTTAGTTTAAATCCAAATTATTGGCTTCTGAAAGTATGTGAGGACCCATGGCCGACCATGTGTAATGAGTAACAGAGCAAGGTAACCGCAGAGTAAATGTAGCAATAGTGTACAGAAACTCGGGGAGCAGAGATACTTGTCCTAGACTCATCTTAAAACCTGGATGAGCAAGCAGGAAATATTAACAACAATTTGCTGCCCTTCAAAATGTATTCTTATTTACACTCAGACAAAAACAGACATTGGCTTAGCATCTTAGCAGATAATGTTACGCGTTAATGCTTAGCAGAAGCAATCAAGTCCGTTTACAACGTCCACTCCATAATCAGCAAACAACCTCAGCAAAATTAGGACACATTCATGCAGAGTCCATTTGAATCACTTACGTTGGACACTTGATAGAAACCATCGGCTTCCTCTGCAGAGTCAAATATGCAAGTCTGTCCATTAACAGTAATACGCAGGCGGGCCGGGTAGATTAGGCCAAAGTGTATACCGTCCTTGTAGAGTAAAGACTTCACTTTGTTGTAAGAGGCCCGTTTCCTGGTGAGTGTGGCACTGAAGTCTTCAAAAAACCTGATGGGTTGCCCATTGTATGAGACATCCAGGTTTTTCTTGGCCCACTGCAGAATGAACTCTCTCTGGGTATATTTGTGGAAACGGACGATGAAAGGTCGGGATCCTTTCGGCGGTTTCGGTCCCAGACTGCGATGCACTCTGTCTAATTCCAAGCTGGGATCCTGAAGTGCGTCTCCGACCACCTCCTTTAACAGTGTAACCAAGAGTCAAGCGTTGTTCCCCTCCGTCACCTCCGGGATGCCGACTACACGGAGGTTCTGTCATTTGAAGCAGGAGACAAGGTCTTCCACGGCAAGCTGCAGTTTCTCGGTCATCTGGGTAGCTGTCTCCAACTTAGATTTCAGCGTTGCTACGTCGTGCTCTAAGCTGGTGATTCCGTCCGAGTGGGTATTAGAGATTTGCTCATCTCCGATAGAGTTGCAGTGTGACTTCTTATGGTTTGAAAAACTAAGAAACAATGACAGAGTTCTGAGTGTAGAAATTATGAAGCGACAAAGTATACCCGGGAGCAAACACCATGCAACCGATCACTCCACCGCCATGACCGGAAGTCCTCCTTTTTTAAGTTTTGAAAGATTATATCCTCCCCCCGCCATATGCAGTGGTTTGGTCTGCTGCATATCTTTTTCAGACCCTCCGTGACCTTTTTTCAAAAAGCAACAAATCTGGCGAGTTATTCAGACCATCAGGGGGAAAGTGAGAAATATACAAAGTCTATTATATTGTAGGATAATTTTTTCTCAGAGTAATCTCAGTCAGCGGCTCTTCAGGCAGAAGCACAGTGTACCTCACCTCGCAGGCACGAGTGAAAGTTCTCTCTGTCTCTGTCGTAAGCAGCAGAATTTGTAGTAATGAGAGAGTTTCAACACGCACCCACCTAAATTACTTATTTAAAAACACATAATTTCAGCAAGTATCCTGTATCAACAATACATGACTGGCATTTGTAACAAACTCATTGTAAATTCAGCAAGTTATGAAGATTATTTTTGAAGACCTGCCTAGTTTCCCCATACCAATATAACGGCCCAATTGACACATTGCTGCGATGAACAGCAGCAGAATCAAAGAGGTGTCAGCATGGCTGTAGACTGTAGTTTATCTCTGTGGTTTTCAGAAGGGGGGTAAAGGTGTTTATACTCTCACACAGATGCATTTTAAGCCACTTAACACCCCAAAACTTCCGAGTTCTAACCAGCAACTAATGCTAATACTGCTCTGCTCAAAATTGTGTATGTATTCCATTCCAGTCCATTTTTGAATGTTGAGCACAAATGGAGTCCTGCTGTGCATTGGTACTGGTGTTTCTATTTGATATACAGATACGTCCAGGATAATATTCATGTATCTCTCACCATGTGAATCTTCTCACTACCAAACTTGAGCATGTGATCATGTTTCCTATTAGGTCATACAGTGTTGTTTCAGGCTGGCCAATCAAACACAGTCTTGTCTGTGAAGAGTGGAGAAACTATTAGTATTCTTTCATTCTTCAAAGCAATTTGAACACGATGACATCTCCAAAGTTTGTTTTCTACCTGACATGTTTATTCTTGGTGAAGAAGGGTGAGTTGTGATTTTACCTTTCAATGTACTTTACGGTCACTCCTCAAAGGTAACTGTGTATTTGCTTTGTCTCTCATTTCACTTCAGCTCCGCTGGTTGAACTGAAATTGTCTTCGTCTCAGCATCAAGCAACTGTTTTTTTATCAGTTAAAGCAGGAGAAAAGTTGACTTTACAATGTTCTTATGACGTTGACATTCCAGCAAGGATTTACTGGTACAAACAAGTTCTGGGACAGAAACCAAGGTGCATCTCTGCCTTCAGTGTGTTTAATAAAAATCACTCTTTTTATGATGAGTTCAAGAACGATAAGCGCTTCACACTGCAAACTGGCAATGGTAAATACCACTTGAATATCTTAGATTTACACATTTCAGACTCAGCCACTTACTTCTGTGTGAGTAGTAAATCACACAAATTTGAATTTGCAGAGGGCACTACTGTCAGTGTAAAGGGTTCAGGTTTGACCGTCCCAGTTTCGGTCCATCAGTCAGCATCTGAGCCCATCCAGCCAGGAGGCTCTGTGACTCTGAACTGTACAGTACAAACTGGGACCTGTGATGGAGAACACAGTGTTTACTGGTTCAAAAACTATGAAGAATCTCATCCAGGACTCATTTACACCCATGGAGGCAGGAACGATCAGTGTGAGAGGAATTCCAGCACACAAACACACACCTGTGTCTACAACTTGCCATTGAAGAGCCTGAATCTTTCTCATGCTGGGACCTACTACTGTGCTGTTGCCTCATGTGGACACATACTGTTTGGAAACGGGACCAAGCTGGACATTGAGCGTAAGTAACTTTCTAATGAGGGTGATCTCATGTGAAAATTAACATGAACACAGAGATAAAAAGCTGAAAGTTGTGTTTCTGATGTCTGGCACTCTGCAGATGAGGTGGACTATCTTGCCTCGGTGTATTTCTTGAGTGGAGTTTTGGCATTCATAGCCGTCCAGTTGATTTTACTGGCAGTCTTAGTGTACAAAATGAACAGAAGAGAGATGAACAGTTTCCAATCTGCAGGTAAAGTAACTAACACTATTTGAATCTGCCTGTGTCCACTGAACATGGTATTTGAATTTAAGAGCTTTTTATGTTTCAGAACCAGAGTTTCAAGCAAGATTTTCACCTCCCTCCACAACTGAAGATGAGGTAAAAACATTTAATTGTTTGGTTTTTGGGGCATTGATTAAATTTTTGTCAGGGTCCATAATGTGATGTATTTTAAAATATTTTGTTAACAGAGTTACAGAGAAGCCGACAACCTCCATTATGCAGCTATCAGTGTTAACCTGCCCAAGAGATCAAGAAGACAGACAAACAACACCAAGGATGAATGTGTGTACTCCACTGTCAAGAAGTAGAACTGGACATGTGTAATTTTTACTTTTTAGGTAAAACTGGATTATTTACAATTCTTTCAAAGAGTAATGTCGATTTAGATGTACATCTTGAGATAAATGATCTTTTTCTATCATATTTGGTGTGGTGATGGCGCATAGATAAGATGCTTGCCTTTGGTGTGGGAGACCTGGATTCGATTCCCACTTGTGTCCCTGAGCAAGACACTTTACCCCTAGTTTCTCCAGAGGTGTGCAACCTCTGACATGCATAGCAATTGTAAGTTGCTTTGGATAAAAGTGTCAGCTAAATGAGTTAATGTAATATTTGTGGTCTGCAGACATGATATCTCTAAACTTAAGTTCAATTGCTGCCTTAAAAATGTGAGTAAACTCAACTTTAAGAAAAGCTTTGTTTCAACCCATGATGTTACGTTATACAATTTGTTTAATTAATGATAATTTGTTGTTTGAACTTAATACTGTGAGTTAAAACAACTATCTATATTACATTGTCCATTCAAGGAAACTTGCTTTCACTTGTCTAACAAACATACAATTCTCACCCCTTCAACTCACATTTTTAAGTTCAGATAACTCAACTTGAAGATTGCCTTTGTTTCAACTCATAAATTTAAGTTCATAAAGTGGATATAACTACAGTGTTGTCCCAATGTTTGAGTTATTCTAACTCATAGTTTCAAGTTAAAGCAACTTAACCAAATTAATACTACTTTCCATTTCAAGTTAAGGGATTTAAATTCTAAATTTGTTTCAGTTTACATCTATAAAGGGCCTTGAAGACAGACCACAACAACAGCACCACTGTGCTATTACCTTTAATGACTTGTGACGGGGCAGGGAAGCTTGCTGGGGCGCCTGTGCACGCCGCAGTCAAAGTTCAAAATAGCAGCAGATGTCACCTCCTTTCTGAAAGGGCCTTAAGGCCGTTGTCTGGAACCCTTTCCACCGGTGGCACTAGTCTTGTTTACCACAGAAGTGTCTATATTTTGGTTGGAATATGAATATATGACTTATCTGCAGTGTATAATTAGCAGGGGTGAACAAGAGCACCAAATCTTCTGCATCTGTACTCAGATTTTGCAGGGCTTAATCTATAAGTGGTTGGTATAAACTGGAAGTTATTTAAGCATCAGAACTTGCTATATTTATTAGAAAACCATTTACAGAACAGCCTCAGAATTGAGCTTCAGAGAATAGTAATTGATTTTTTTATATTCATATATTTATAGTTTATACAAAACAGATATTGTCACATTTTACTCTGATGACACTCATAGAAAGTATCTGTACCGGATACTCGTTTTAACCGAGTACTTGCTAAACCCTAATAATTAATTGGTTATGTATATGTTTTTCTCAAACTCAAAAGACGCAGCACCTAGGCAATCCTCATACTGTCGCCTTTTTTATCAACTGATAACTTACATACGTGAGTTCAATCAACACGACAAAGTGTCAAATACAATGAATTAATGCAAGTTTAACTTTCTAAAACTCATACAGTTGAGTTCAAAATCCAAAACTTGTCAGAGCTATTTGAGTTAAAAAGAAGAAGTAAGTTGACATGACTAAATGGGTCTATGATTCTTTTCAGTGTAAGGTTAGTTAATGTGCACAATTACCGCCTTTTTCTCTTTGTGGTTTTAAGCTGCAGGCTTCCCTATTCTTCCCTTGTTTACTTACTAAGAAACCATCTGTCTAAAATCTGTTCTTTATTTTTATTACTAAACTTACAAAATTGTCTTTCTGATGTAAACCGGTACATTTAGAAGGTCACAGTTATTGATGCTACACAAGTGACTCATGATATTTGAGAATTAAGTATGTCATGAACTTTAAACTTACATCTGTATGTGCTTTCGTATTTGCATTTTATGTCATTAAAGATCAAATATGTATGAAAGTTACTGTGTTACTGTTTGTGTTAAATGATGAGTTTCACAGCTGGTATCTGTCATTGATTGAAACAACTAGAAAGGATACCTGTGACATTTTACATCTGCATCTTTATAGTCTGAACTCTAACACCTTCAACTATGCCTTTCCCACGACCTTTTTAAAAAAAAAAATCTTTGGGGGCATTTTTGCCTTTATTGTTGATAGGATAGAGAGAGATAGATAAAATGAAGGAAAGAGAGGGGACAACATGCAGCAAAGGGCGACAGGCTAGAGTCAAACCCCGGCCGCTGCAATAAGGACTCGGCTGTGTATATGAGGCAACATCAACTGAGTTAGAAGGCGCCCCAGGAACAACTCATTTTGACCAAATTATTAACAATACCCACATACTGAAACCAGAATTCCCTTTCCTTTGGTAGTGGCCAAAATGAAATGTGAAAATGTATCACCTGAAGTTGCCCAACATCCTACTGAATGGGGGTTAGGGGGGTATCAGAACCGTTTGGGAATGTATGTCCGGTTAAGACAAGGAGGTGGAAACTAACTGAAAATCTCATCACAAATCCACACACATTTAACTTCAGCAGCGCTGATAAAATGCAGATCACAGTCCCAAACAGAATAAGTTTTCACCCCAGTTTTTCAAAGCTCTACCAGTTAGTTACCACTCTGCCACAAATTGTCTGCGACTCTGCGTGAGAGGGGCTCTGCTGGCTTACTATCACACTATTCATTGGTATTGCATTATTTGAGCGGAGATGATTTCGTGCCACGAGTCGACATTATCAGTTATAAAATCGTTTTTCATTGTGTGAGAAAATTGTGTGGTGTGGGGTGAGAGCATGTGAAAGTGTCAACTGCAGCAGTTTCATGCGCAATGAGTGGGAGCTGGCAGTTCTGATACTATGAGACAGCTTTTCACCTCGATAAGAAAATATCACATTTTAATATCGCAAAATCTCGTGCCACGGGATTTCGTCACACCCCTGTTCTCAATACTATAAATTTATGATGTTGGTCTATTGCTTACACATGACATATATTGCATGTCTGTCCATCCTGGGAGAGAGATCCCACCTGTGTTGCTCTTCCTGAGTTTTTTTCCATTTATTCCCGATTAAAAGGTTTTTGTTTTTTTGGCGAGTTGTTTCAGGGTGGTCTGTCGCTCGACATTTGACTTAATGATACACTTTAAGTTAAGGTACTCTGGAGTTTTAAACCACTACTAGCGGCGTGGCCCAATGTTTTACAAGTTGATGCCCATTGTGTTTGTATCATGCATGCAAACGAGAATGCACATAAACACATTCTCACTCCCAACTCGTCACATATGGACATTTGGTCAAGAACCGTTGGCATCTCTTTTTAATCCCCATAGTGTAGTTTTTGACGTTTAGGGCTCCTCGGTCAAGTTAGCAACAATAAATATGCATTGTAACTTGCATAATTTAAACAGTGTTACTTCCATAACTTACTCAAACACTTCAAACACTCACTCACTGGTCTCTTGGGTGAAACTCTGGTTTCTGGCCCACCCTAACCACCTGCTTACTTGGATTTTACTTATTTACATATTAAACACCTACCTTTAGCGTTCCACCAGCGCATTGAGCTATGACGCTTAGGGGCTCCCCAGTGCGTTTCGAAGTGATGCCAATGCGTCTTGACCATGTGACCATATGTGATTACTCTAGAGTGAGAATGGGTTGATAGACATTGTTGCCCCTGGCTCTAGTACTATTCTGCTGACTGAGAGCTGGGAGTGGTAATGCTGAAAGAAATAAAATAATGCACCACCAAAGGTAAGCATAAAGAAGACTGCAAGCTAGTGACCATGGATATAAACACTGCCTATATTTAAAAAATTCACTTTGCAGATTTTGTGAGGAAACAAATGCACTCAACACATTATGCATTTCCTTAGTCACTGTAACTAAGGCTGTACATTTCCAGCTAAACTGAGGCTTATTGTTTTGATTTTCTCATTTCACCTGCCATTCACTGGTCATGTGCTAAGTTGTGCACGTCCGCCGACTCGTCCACAATTGCATGCCTCTCAAGGTTCCTCGCAGGTCTATTCCACAGAATATTATCTAATTCTGTTTAAAAACGATATATATATATATATATATATAATATATATAATATTTGTGTGGTTCATCAATGGTGATAAATGACCCGAACATCCCGCAGAGTTCACGCACAAGTCTGCGCACTGACCTGAGGGTTTAGGGTTGCAATTTTGGATTTATTCACGATTTATTAAAAGCTTCTTTCTTTTCACACGTTAACTTACATCATTATATGTTGATATGAATATCATACTAGGTTGTATATTAACTTACTGGGAGAACACTGGTAGTTTTTTGTAAATTCAGACGTCAAGCACCCCCATATATTCAAAATGGTTTGATCCTTGTTTCATAACATCTCGGGGTCATCCCTACTAAAATGTTTTTACTATGAACATTAATAAAGCATTCAGATCTGTTAACGTTTTAACCCCACAGTTGATGTATCTTTTAGTGCAGTGGCAGTTGTGGTTTTAAGCAGGATGTATGGGTGTTTGCACTCACAACCCCCTTCAGCCAAATACAGTAACACACTCAACACTCAAACACCTTATCAGGTCAAATTTATGCAACTATATTAAACTTATATTACCCTGCTATTTAAGAGGATAAAAGCATGTTCACTTTTAGGCCTAGCAGTAGTTGATAGAGATAGTCCAGTACAATGCAGGTAAAGTGAACTTTAAATCAGTTCATTTAAGACCTGCAAAGAGGAAATAAAAACATTGTTATGCAAACTTTTACACCTCCGAGAAGGTAAGAGCCTGCTTCAGATCTTGTGTGATCCTGAACGAAAACAAAGTCTGTAGCCTCAGACTGTTCATGATGAAGTCATTATACAAGCTGTCCAGTTCACGTATGATTCCAAAATTCACCATCACCATGTATCTGCTGTGACATTTTTGCCATACCCTACGGCAATGGGTATTTTGGTCTAGAAAACATTCATTTGCTGTTTTGCAGTGATGACCAGAGCCATATCTTTGGGTCATATTAGGAAATAAGTAGACTTCGACGTCTTTTTAAGGAAGCATCTGTGGATGTTTGAAGGGATTTTTTGATAAAATTATAGGTAACTGTAGGTAAAGATAGGTCTAATTAGCTATGTCTAGAAAATCTGAAAATGAGTTGAACTCTTGTAGACTTTTAGGCTCCTCCTCTAGTACCTGTCCAGCATTGTGGTTCTTCATATCAGCAGCAGAGTGAGGATAAATGACGTCACTGGGCTGTTTATTGTAAAAGACCTGCAGCCTTTCTCAGTTGAGTCAAAGATCTTTAGGTAAGCATTAATAATTCCAACAGTATGTAAAGTTATTCTAAAGGTTATGTAGCATATAGATTGTCATCAACAAGGTGACAAGGGGTGTATTTAATTAGTCTACATATAAAAAGAAACAATGTCTCAAAATGTGAACCTTTTCTTTCTGAAAAAACAAACTTGACACCACAGGTGTCAGGGAGCATGTGATCATGTTTCCTATACAGGACATACAGTGTCACTTCAGGGTTGGCCAATCAAATGCATTCTTGTCTCTGAAGAGTGGAGAAACCTTCAAAATTC